GCTTCTTTTGAAACATCCTCTTAAAGGTAATTAGAGCTTTTGTCCAAGCCATAATTTAAATTTGCTCTAGCTAAGCCTCAAATTGCAGGAAATACAATTTTTATCATCCATATGCATTTGATTCCAGTGAACTGTTTATTGAGGTGGGAACTACTTGATTTTTCCCCACTCACGAAAGTACTACACTTTTAAGCTTCTTTGTTATAAAATGCTCTTCTTATTATCTATTATGAGCTTTTTTGAGCTTCAACAGTTAGCTCATAAACCCTCGATGTTGATCGGGATTTCTGGAATATTATTCGCTGCAGTACGAATGTCCATGCTACAGATTGCCGCGGGAGCTTTATAATAAAACCCTGCTGCAATTTATTGATTGACAAATTACCTTTCTTTTTCTTAAGGTGAAAATTCCAACCAGAAAACTATCATAAACAATATAGAAATATCGTTAATTATGCCGGCGACTAGCTCAATCGGTTCTCTTTTTACTTTACCTATTTTATTTCGGTTTGCTTAAGGAATGTCCTCTAGCTGAAATTGCCACTACAAAAAGGGTTGTTTGAAGCTTGTAGTCTAGCACAATGACATAGTAACATTTTTCTACAACTGTCAAAAAAACCTGTCATTTTCTGACGAATTTCGAAACGCGAAGTAATAGATTTTTAAACGGTTAATTAATAAGTAAGGTGGCTCTTGACAACGTGCGCGAAATCGTCAACAGTGAAAAAAAGTATTTCGCGCACGTGACAAAGTTGAACTTAAACAGCAAATTTAATTAACAATCGGTTCAGTTGTAGAAAAAATATTGTATATAACGCTAGCGCGAAGTTACTTCGCGCATTTGACAGATATTTTAACTCGGCTTCGCCTCGTCAAAATACCTTCAGTCTTAATGCGCGAAATTGAACTTCGAGCTCTTGTTATATAAATAACTATTGTATATTTATAAAAAATAAACACGGAAAACATTGGGGCCATTTAAAGATGCATTGCTTTTTTTATCAAATGGTCTAAATATTAACATTCTACCTGGGCATATATCTGAATATTTAAATTCTAGGTAGAGGTGGCCATCTGTTTGACTAATTTTGAATTAGGACTGTTACCAATTGACACATTAACGGCAATCCAGTTGACAAAATAATTGTGAAATACCTAGGAATGTGATTCCCTTATTTTGAACTTTAAATGGAACTCGATTCGATTCCGTAAAATAAAAGCCTGAAAAGACTGGTCACAAATTCAGGGGTTTCTTTTGATAAAATTACAAATGGATACAACAATAATTTATGAAATTTATGATCTCTTATTTACAGTTTAAACTATACTAATAATAGGTCAAAATTTTCTTTATCCAATGGATCGTAAAGCTGTCGATTCAAATTTACAAAAATCATACAATTATATAACGCACCTTTTTCGGGATTGTTCTTGAACTTGAGGTTTAATGTGCGGGAATTGATAAACTTTTCACCTTGATTAATTTTACCTTTAGCGGCACAAAAATGACTTTACTAACAGTTTTCTTTATCGCAATTTCACTTTTACACGGGATATTAGAGTATCTTTGTGACACTGCGTAGAGCGCGGTATAATGTTTATGGAATTTGATGAATAGCACTTCATTTATAAATATAGATAGTGTCTTTATCTAACTGAATTACGCCTGCGAACTCTTAACCTTCTGTGAATATATTCCTTGGCGTAACTTTGTATCACGTTAATTCTTACTGAGATGGCACTTTTGTGACATACTAAATGTGCGCGGTAACTACACGGAAATTCTGCTAAGGGTAGCGAAAACTAACATGCATTTTTTCTACTACTCTGGATATTAATGGACACGCTTATTTTTCGTCGGTTAGCTCACTATTATTACCTTTCTAGTAATTACTCTTTTTAGGAAAGTGGACATGCAATTCGCAATTCTCAATGAATTCCAAAACGTCAAAATACGTCGTATGTTAAACAAAATTCAAAAGAACCAAAAGCTACTTTAATTTTTCTATTTAGTAATTTGACCTTTATTAACTTAAGATCCTGTTATAGAGTCGTTTCCCGCCTAACAGTCACCTCCTTATCTTACCTAATTCCTTATAAAACAATAACAATTTGTACCTCGCAAAAGCTTAATTCTTTTTTTTACCTTTAAAGGCACGATAATGAATTGAACATGTGAGTACAAGAAAAATGCGATTACTTTATTTTATAGTAACGACGACATCGAAATCTCCATTGTATTCGGTTCGATTACGAATGTGCTTTACGAGCGTTGAGCGTATTTTGAAAAGGTCAAATCAGAACAAATCAATGGGTGGTTTCAACAAAAGGAACTGTTTTCTACTAACTACCGCCCTTCTGTCTGGCACCTTATTAAAAGAGGGTTGGGGAGGGGGGGCTGGTTGTGTCCTTCATGGTCCTCTAATGAAAGGTATCAACGAAAGGAATTAATTTCTAAGAACCATAGTCCTCCTCTATTTGGATTGGGACGTCTGGAAGAAATTGGTGATGTCATAACTTTAAGAGCGAATGTCTCGAAAACGGTTTGTCAGAAGAAAGTACTCTCAAAGGCAAAATGAATCATCTGGACGAAACCAAAAACTTTTTAACGGCTTGATTTTTCTTGCATTATATTTGCGGTACTTGTTTAGATCTCTTCACTAATGATTTACTACGATTTTCTACCAATATGATCTTAAGAACAGCAATTTGTCAGAAACTTCTAGTGCCAGAATCCTTGGAGTCATCAGTTCTCATACTCTGAATAATAGCGGACATGAATCGTCTATACCATCACGTATGCCCTATTAATTTCAACTTATGTCGCGACCAGCCCGATCAAATCTCATTTGCTGTCTATGGAAGTCTGAGTGCATGTGATCCAAGTTGGATAGAGAAGGTGTCTCTTGGAAATCTCGCCCTCTACTCCATGTATCGTGGCGAATGGGGTGCGTGCATTTGTTCCCATTGCTGTCCCATTGGACATTAAAATCGTCGGCTCTTGACCTTTCACAAATAGGTATGAGCTCCATCTTAACCCTTCAGGAAGTCATCCTCAACGACGCATTCAACCCCAATTGCCAACCGGAGTGTTCGGAAGTCCAGGAGAGCTTAGTGCCAGCTCGGGGCAAACGCCCCCCGGTGAGTTACCTAATTAATTGGTGAGGATCGCGGTTAAGCAGTCGCGTTATTTGTTTACATGATCCTTGAGCGCGGAAGACGACCAGTCAGACTGAATGCTGCCATGCCAACCCCTTATGCGTAGATTACAGAGGGACGTTTCTAATGAAAGGTGAGTTTACAGTAGATTTATCGCATCTTAATAATGAGTTCTGATCAACAATTAGCTCCCATTTAATTAGCGATTTCCCTTGTTGTATATAAAAATACCCCCCATTACACACGTGTAATTAACTCCGCCACGTTTTTTTAAATTATGCCAATTGCAATGTTTATATGTATGAAAGCGCAGAAGAAAGAGTGGTGCCAACTATCGAAATCTTGCTGTCAAGAGAGTGAATTAATGCTGAGTTAGCGAGTGTAATCGAATAAGGTAAGAAGACGAAATATTATGATATAAATGCCAGATTTCTCGGCTGACTAAGCTTCCAAAACCCGTTAAGAAACAATACTCCATAGAAATTAAACGACGCAAAAATCGCACTACACATTTCTATGATATATTATTATGCAATGCGGATACTGTCCTACTCCTAGAAGTCCACAACTAAATTTCGAAAAAAAAATTTAATGCAAATTTAGAGCTACCGTTACAGGGAAAGGGCGAATTAATTAAATTGGGTTCATGTTGAATTGCACTGAGTGGCGTTCATACCTAAATCTGATTATTGTCAAGATATATTAATGTGTGGCTATGGGTTTGATTCTTTAGATAAGGTGGCACATCACATTTAATTACGATTTTCTACAGCCTAAAATGATTCTAAACTACGAGTACCATTAAACGGTAACGCGAAAAGAAGAGCTGTTATGGTTATAAGACTTATAAATGTGTTCGAAATCACATAGGTACCGGTAAATATCGGATTACCGAGTAAGCATATCATTGGTAACTAATACGTATAGTTGTGGACAAGATCTTCATACCATACTTTCACTTCCGGAGAAAGACTCTTTAGTACAAAATCGTTTATATCTGTTGTAAACTTCCACTTAATTGTTGATATGATATTAATCCAATAATCATCATACTCGTGCTCAAAAATTATAGGCAACTTTAGAAAAAAGAAAGCGTTTACACGTCTGATTGCATGACGCTAAAAAGCAACGTTTATTTACGTACATGCAATAAAAAGACATGGGGAAGAAATGGATGCGAAGGCGTTGGATTGATGTAATGCGGATAGGATCCATATATAAAGTTACCAACACATTCCCACAGCTTCCTGGATTTATGACCGACATCTTATATTTGCATTCAGGCATATAATAATGTCGGAACTCCCACAAAATAATTATTCTGTACACGAACGAACCTAAATGTCTTTATTAATATTCGAAAATTTTGGCTCTCTTTTTTCGCCTACGAGAGATTGTCGAAATTCTAAGTTCTAGTTGAAATTACCATGTACGGCATCTATAACGACGTGGGACCGTCGAGGACGGTAGCAAACCACCGCTATCTACCATCAGTAATCATGTTGTTGCACTCCCACGCATTTTGAGATATAAATATCTGAACGTTTAAATTTCATGTAATCACGCTTGTAAAAGCGGACAAAGCTTAGAATTTTTTCCTGAATTGTCATTAGTCATTATTCTTTTAAGGAAAGCGTTCAGTAAGTATAATCTCGGATTAAACTGCTATATTTCATGGAGTTTTGGACGTTTATTGATCATCGCCTGCGATAATACCGTAATAAAAATGCTAATTTTAACCAATAAACATAAATGGTTACGATTTTGGGTATTGATTTCGTATTTTTCTTAATTTAATAATGGGCTAAACAATTTAAAAGCACTAAAACAGTAAGACTTACCAACTGTTATAACGTGTCCAAATGATGTTGGGTTACTAATTCCGGTGCAATTCCAGCGTTGATGTCGAAATTGATATAGACATTCGGTTGCCGCCAAACGCACACCATCGCCAACGGCAACCATCGCGTCAGGAGCCGCTTTACACATTTCCTTCTGCTTGATTGTTAATCCCGGCACTCGACCACAGATTACTTCTGCACCTAAAGCTATTACACCGCACACTAGCCTGAAACAAATTATTTATTATATAAACTTTCCCACAGTTAACAAATTGTTCTTAAAAGCTATTTTTGGAACTTCACCAGATAACGACGTAATTTATGTGTGGAGGAAAAAGTCCTACACGGATATAATTTGATTTTATGGTTTACTCCAGTTTCGGTCTTTCCTATTATGGAAACTTAATTTTGGTCGTTCGACAATTACTAGATAGATAAAACGTATACACGGATGAGATTTTTATTGCATGATATAATCAGAAACTAAATTTGTAAATGAAATTGGAATTTAACTTTTAAACTATTGAACACACTTCCGTATTATTTATGGTGGAACGCCTAATTGATGGGTACTTAAGTAGTTTGCGAGCACTCAGCTTTACTTTTTGTAAATTGATTCAATTTTTTCGATTTTCGAAATAGCTAAGTTGAAATTTTGAGATTTCAAAGGGTTTAAGTTATAGTTTGGGCATCACATATAACCGTGTATTTTGTCTTGAAGTTTGTCCTGGCTGCGTATTTCAGTACCAGAGAGCATTGTTTTTAATGGGATTCAGATGCCGGTGGGACACAATCAGAATATGGCTCATATTCAGTCGTTTTAATTAGGGGTAATTTGGTTACGGTTAGGGAAAAATAAAATGAATTTATTTTGCGGGTCTCCGATACAATCGGGAAACGTACCAGTTAAAGTTTGAATTAATTGGCGTCGTAATCACGGCCAAAGTAACGGTTTTCGGTAATTTTTGAATGAATTCGAAAAAAAAGATGTGCACTCAGACTAACAAGGGTGAGATACGTTTCTTTATTGTGAGAAAGCTTTGGGTGTTATTTATTTGGGGTTGAAGTAGCTCGAACCGTTTCCGTTCAGCGTAAAATTGTGTTTAATTTCGAAGGATTAGAGAATTTTCCATTGTCGTAACAGTAATCCTGAACGCTCCGGAGATTTAGCGAAAGAACGTACAAGTGAATATAGGGGGATTTTACAAAGTAAAGGCATAATTTTACGACGCTAAGGGCCAATTGCACCGTCAAAATGAAGTTTCCCTTAAAGTTAAGCATAACTTAAATACCATAGCAACGATTGTCTTAATAATCGTTGCCATAGATTTTAAGTTCGACTTAATTTTAAGCAAGGCTTAATTTTGTTGGTGCAACTGGGGCTAAGACAAGGAATTATTGCGCAATAAAACGGACCAAATTGAGAAGTTTAGACCAAGGCGTTTAGACATTTTTTCGGTTATCGCGAATGAATGAATAAAAAACTTTCGTATTAAATTACTCCACCGTGAGTGAAATAAGGGATTTTAACTTGTGTTTGAAATACGTAACCCTAGAATGCAGGCAATTAGAAAAACATGAACAAAACTTAGAAGGAAATAACGTTTCGTTTATATAGTGAAAGCGGAGCGCATTTACAAGAAACTTTAACGTTTACAAATACTTTGGAAGTAATATTCTGGCGAAGACAACTATTTCTTACGAACGAGTTTCTTTAATGACGAATATTCATAGGGTGAGCATTCATGAACGAATCTCTTCGCGATTTACATCGAACCTGTCAGTAGGTGACAGATGTAACGGTTGTAGATTTGGCCATTGACGAAGATATGAGCCCAAACCACGTCCCATTTCGTGATCGGCCATACCTCCTTTTCTGCGGAAGTGTCATGCATCATAAAAAGCTGACGGCGCACGGAAGTCGATCACATCAGGCTATTGAAAAAATATCATATCAACCGTCAAATCAAGGAAGAAAGTTCTAGCCGTTCTAGCAGCGTATGGTTAATTGGAATTAGTCGCGGTTTCTTTATTTGCTCGCTCTTTAACCGTGAGAGTAGATAAAGTGATCACTTTAACCGCAAGGGTAGATAAAGTGAAACAGATGATTGTGCATTCTGGTGACATCTGTCATTCTTATTTCAAATTGACGCGGGACATGATATAATATGACGTTCAGAACATATGGAAATGCTGTTTCTATGGAATTGACGGCATTCTAGTGGCATCTGTCATTCTTTTATTTATTTCAAATAGAATGCGGAATATAAAATGACCGAGTTGACTATTCGCCGTCGCTGATCTTTGTCTTCCTGCCACAGGGCCACTACTATACCGCTGCCGCTTGCATTTGTTTGAAGAACAAAAGCTAGTCGAAAGTAGGGGCTTGAGGAGAGCGGTTTGCAGACTCTCAAACGCTTCATTCGCGACGGCCGCCCACGTGTATTGGACCCCCTTCTACATAATGGCATTGGACGGCGCCTGGATTTCGGCATAGCGAGCCACGTAATCGAGAAGTCAGTTGATGGTACCCTAGAAGCTTCGGAGCTGCCTGCGTGTTGTTGGTCTGGAAGCGGTACGGAGAATTTCCACGACCACGCTGGCCGGTTATTGCACTTTTATTATACTCGAACTATGTTAATTTCATGTAATGTTGAGACATATTATAATAATATCTCTCCCGTTAAATAAATAAAGGAATAAAATATAGACAAATAGCAGCTAAAAGATCCTAAACCATAAACATATACAAGAGAATATTGAAAACGTGCTAAGAGACGGGCGTATTGCAGATAAACGTAATATATAACAAGTTAAAAAGTAATCGTAAACGATTTACATAAAGCTCATTTCCACTTGCATTCATTTCCCATTTATAAGATGCAACTTCTGTTAAAATCGTAAAAATCCGGCCACAAATAGGAAAGATAGCTTTGCACATGGGCAATCCATTTTTGACGTGTTACTTCAATTTCAGTTTATGAGAAGAATTTCATTTCAATACTTTTCTAAATAAGAAAGTTGGAATTGCGCATGCGCAAACCTAAATTTTAAAACTAATGTTAGATTTTCCTTTGTTCCAAGCGCCTAAGTATCAAATTTCACTTAAATAGTGCCATAGATAAAAAAGTTGGCACTGCGCATGCGCAAAACCAAATTTTGAAATTGGCGTTTGATTTTCCTTTATTCCAAGTGCCTATGTATCAAATTTCATTAAAATACTTTTATAAGTAAAAAAGTTTGCAATTCGGCTTATAAATGGTCGAGATGCGAAAAGGGCACTGTGAATTTTGAATGGATTCGATTCAACTTTTGGCATTGCGTATTATATGGCTAAATCTATGCCCATATTGAATTTCATGCAATTCAGTTCATAACTAACGGAAATGTAAAAGCGATCGAACATTTCTAAACAAAGTTATCGTTCACACGGACAGATAGATGGACAGACAGACAAAGGAACAGACGGACAGACCAGCATGCAGACGACTGATAGTAATGCAAAATTATAAACGATCTCTAGGATCGTTAATAAACGGCAAAAGTGTAAAATTATAGAACATGTAAAAAAACGGTTTTTTGTTTTTTTTACAATAACTTTTTTTGTAAGCGGTACAGAAAAAATTCCTTCCTTGGTAAAAGACTCGACACCATAACGAACCAAATAGCGAAAAAAGTAGAACAATAGCTCTTAAGATAAAAAACTAGTAGCGTCGCAAAGTTAGCGGACGGACGGACGGACGGACGGACGGACGAAGTGGCCACAATAGCGCATTTTTTTTTATTTTTGTGGAAATGCGCTAAAAACAATCCGCCCATTGGAAAGGAGAGGAACACAGAGCACAAATTGAGTAAACGGCAAAGAGGGTGCTACCAATATCAGGGAAAAACATTAGCAACGTTCCAAGGCAAGATTTCACGATACAATCGGGTTTAGAGCTACATTTTTAATTTTTTTCTGGAAATTTAGTTGCAAATGCGATAGATTTTGGGTTTAAGGGTAGATCCGTGCAGGGTCTGAATATTTTTTTTTTTTTTTGTTTATTTAAGGCGTCGACTACTTGGTCATTAGCCTATTGTAAATACTGTATAAATCATAACATGTCGAATATATTTGCAGACCTTAGGTATTTTATTACATTTTTAAGATGTTGTGGCTGTTTGAGTATTTCTCCTACTTCATCTATTAAATGAAAAGATTGCCTGATGGGCTCCAGTACCGGACACTCCCTTAGGATATGTTCAACAGTCATTTGATTACCGCAGCGTACACAAACCGTAGGAGGCTCCCCGCGTAACAGATGGGCGTGCGTTATTTGCGTATGACCGATTCTTAAGCGGTGGATTTTCACTCGCTCAATCCTACTGAGAAGTATAGTGGTGGTCTCCATGGTTTAGGGTGTACTAATGCTGCTCTTAAAGCTGCTTTTAGGTCCAGATGCCTCACTACCTGAACGTCCACATGTCTCACTCCCGTGGCTCTTTTAGCAGCTTCGTCTGCCATCACATTGCCACGTATACCAACATGGCCAGGTACCCAAATCCAAAATATGCTTTTCCCAACCTCGACAACATTGCTGTAAACAGCCTGAATCCTTTGCACTAGTGGGTCCCGAGGAAATCGAGAATTAATACTATTTAATGCGCCCTGGCTATCACTTACAATAGCAAAGCTCTCCTCTGTATTGCTCATAAGGCAGAAAAGCAGAGCTTGCCATATGGCATACAGTTCGGCACTGAAGATGGTGCATGAGGAAGATAGAGTCCACTCATGTGTTTCGCCATCTACATAGATGGCACATCCCACACCCGATTGCGTCCGCGACCCGTCCGTATAGATAGCCTTAGGGCTATGATACTCTTCCATAATGGCGTTAAATTTCCTTTGAAACTTTATAGCAGACGTGTTCTCTTTCTCAAATTCGGTCAGAGCAAAACATGAAACGATCTCAGGAACCATCCAGGGGGGAACTTCTCCAAATCCTACAGGTAATACTGTTGGCAGCCCAATATTCATCATTCTTAGTAGTTCCTGTGCTCGTACCCCAGTAGGTCTTGTTAGTGAAGGTCTATTCTCGTATCCATGACGATCTCCAAAAAATAATGTATAATTAGGGTGATTTGGCTGAGCACGGATCCCTACTACGTATCCGCACAGGAGCCGATCACGTCTTCGGAAGAGAGAAGAAAAACCAGTTTCAGTGTATAGCTTATCCACGGGACTGGT